TGTGTGTGTGTGTGTGTGTATGTGTATATATATGTATATACTGTATATATAATCTGCAGTCTTTAGTGTCGCCTTCAGTGTCGTAAAAAATTACAAAATTGCTTTAATTGCACCAGAACGCAGGATGGTTGGAGATGTGAAAAGGCGCCTGAATATATTATTGTCTCATGCATCAGCTGGCAGTGGCTCTGTTCAGATGAGATAAAGGGGAAATCATTGGAAAATATATCTTAGTCAGTGGTTAGTATATTTTTGCTAAACATCTGCTCTTAGGGGAAGGTTACAAATGCAGCCTAGAAAATACTTAGTTGAAAAGAGTTGGAACTTTGAGTGTATGTTGTGATTACACACGTTTAAATCTTGACGTTCCACTGCAGGTAGTAGTCCCTCCATGTTGTTTCAGACTGAATCACATTCATTCTTCATCCTATCGAAACAGTTCACTGTTGTTTCACTTCTTACTAATGACACTCTGTATGTGTCTATATGTTGCAGAACTCCCAGAGGAAAAGAGGAGCACGAGCCAACAACAAACCTGACAAGAAGCTCTGTCCACAGGTAACACACACACACACACACACACACACACCTATGTTCCTCCATATGGTCCAACAAATCAATGAGAGAGACAAAGTGTTGTTTCAGCTGCTAACCCTTGAAGACATTTAGACCTGGAGAGAGTGACATTTATCTAACACACACACACACTTTCAAAAGGACATGTAACGCAATCACCAATAACAAATAGCCGCGCGTGTATAGTTGAAACATCTGCAGAACTAGAGAAACATACCAATATTACAATACCAAGCTTTTTCTTTTTTATTCTGCTGTTGTTCCTGTTAAGATTCTTTTTTATTTATTTGCTTTAAGAGGCAGTTAACCAGTTTACCCACACGTATAATTTAGTTTATCCTCGTTAATATGATTTAAAATACAAAAAAATAAATATCACCATATTTTCATGGCGTCAGCATCGCATCGTTGCTGATAGTTTTTATGGTGTCAGCATCGCTCGAGGCAGCTGTCGTCTCTGCACAAATGTAATTGCATGTACTGCAGGCGACAGGAACTGTGACGGTTATTCCCTCCTACAGGTCTCGACATTGAGTGTATTGAACACAGCAGCACGTGTGCCAAACTGTAAGAATCAGAGTCGATTGGAAACATGCTTCTTGAATCCTGCGAGGACAGTTTGTTTTCTCCATCGACAAGTTCATGTCCCGTTCAGTCGTGATGAAGTGAAGCGTGATCACTAAATCATTTTGTGCACAGAGGAACTCGGTCTAACACGATGACGCATTTCAGTTACGTTCAGCTCATTTTAAAACAAAAAATAATCATGGAAAAAATGAAGAATTTTATTATGTTGTAGCCAAAGAGAATCACAAAATGCCTCGTCATTCATGTCACATAACTCTTTATGGCGACCTGATCTCAATAAACAGATTCTTCATCCAGATGTAGAATCTGGAGCCAACGGGAGAAGATTTAGGGATTGGAAGCGTTCTGGTTGCCTTGTGAAGTCAGTAGTGATAAACAAATGAGATCTCTGAACCCACCGGGTATCGCCCGATGATATCGATTGTTATTGGTTCAGAATTAGAAAGAATTAGTAGAATTAGTATCTGGACGTACACATCGTCTTTCAACTCCAGTCATGCATCTCAGGTTGCTAATCTGACGGTAAACACTGAGCAGTGCACAGGAAGTGTTGTCCCGGATATCTGCTGGCTACAGCCCCTTAGTCTCTTTATACTCAAACCACCAGAATCAGGATTTGATATGAACTGAATGGAATCAATAAGCAGAATCACAAAACAGTCACAAAAAATATCACCTTATTGACATTTACATAGAGCAAGTGCTGTAGCAAACCTGCTGCTTCTGAAGACTGGCACTCTAATTAAATTACTAACCCAGTTAATTATCACCTTTACAGCCAATCCTCCCTGAAACAGCTGTGTCACTCTTTTTCTTTCTGCTTCAAACACCATTTGAATTCGGAACAGAGATGTTTATGTTTGTCCGGGGCCGCCGATCCACGACGGTCATGTTGGAAATCTATCATGTTTGATCCTTTAAGTGTGTTCCCGCCTCACAGCTCACAACTGGGCGGTCCGTGTGTCTCTCTGTCGGCTGTGACCTGTTTCCTCTGGGGATCACACTCTATCTGTCCAAACAAGCCGTGTGCAGTTTGAAGCAGATAAATCAGCATTTTCCTCTATTCCTCCTCATCTCCACATCATCTCTTTCTCTCTTTTCTTCCCTCCATCTTGTCCTGCAGGTGTTTGTACTGACTGTAATCCTTGCATACCCGTTTTTTGTTTATGCTTGGATTACAGATCACGCCTAGACACCACACTTTAAATCCCTACCTCCTCTTCATTCTGCCTCACTTCACTTCACTATTTATTTCCTTAACTTCACTTTCCGAGGTCTCCCTCCCTTCTTTATTTTTCCAAATCGCTAAAATAATTCAAACACAGCTGTAAGACATGTTTTTCCTCTGCGAAGAAAAAAAGGCACTCTGGGAGTTAGAAGTGTATGAGATCAGGTTTAACAGAGCAACACAGTACACCGAGATACAGATTAAAAAACCCACAGGAGTAATATATCCCCACAGAAGGTGTTTGCGGTGAAGTTAATTCTCTCACTGACATCTCTCCCCGTCTGCAAACGCAAGCCCAGGCTTCCTCTCTAAGCCACATACCATAAATGGTCGACTGGCTGGTGCTCGTATCGCTTAATGTGGTTGGAAATGCTCCACAGGCCGTAAAACAAATACAGCCACGGAGCTGCTTCTGAGGAATGAGGCGCATAGAGTCGCCTCAGGTCAGCAGTAGTTACAACGCAATTTAAGATAGAGATACATACATCAATATACTGTATGTTCATGTTGAGAGCTTCATACAACTCCTCAAAAAGGGGACGTTTAAAGCTGAATCAACTGTTTTTTCCAGTCACTCTGGGACAGAAAAACACCACCACGGGCTGACACACAGCCCTTCTGTAGTTGGTTTGGCTAACGTGGTGCAAAACAGTTGCCTGTTTACATAAAGCAGACACAGAGCCACAATTGCAATTAGCTGATATCATGCCACCCGATGAATGTAAATCCAACACCCACTCTCTTAGCTCTGTTTTTTGGTCTCCACCAACTCCTGAGGGAAATACGTGGCTCTTTAAATGCTAAATGCTCCACTATGTTCACCAGCTAGTCACTAACTATGTCTGTCTGCTCGTTGGTGCTGGACAGGTAGTGTGCTATGGGGAGACAATACAGTAAATATGCCGCAAAACCAAAACGGACACTGACACGCTCTATGGAGCCACGGAGTTGATCACTGTTTAAAACGAGGCGATGTCACTTTTGAAAAAGTAAAAACAGTCATTTAATATGCTGTATGACGTTGTCTGAGGCAAACCACTAATGAGTGTTTTCTGGACTTTCCTTTGTGTTATGTCGTCTTTTCTTCTTAAAAGCATCACGAGGAACAAACACAGCATGACTCTGACCTCACCATTTTAGCTGGAAGCCGCATTCAAATAGCTCTTTGTCATTATTTTTCAAGTTCAAGGCGACTTTAAATAGAATAAAAAACTAATTCATCCCATTTGAGTTGCAGGACTGCACTGAAATGTGGCTTGTGTTCAAATGACAGACAAGCAAACAGTTTAGTGCATATTATAACTGAGAGAGATGATGCCCAAACATCACCATGGTTAAGAAAACAGAACATCAGGACATAATTCAGCAACAAAATCACCACATACTTCACTCTAAACCTCTAATGTTTAAGCTGTTATCCATCTGTCTGCAGCTTTTACTCTCTGTGTGTTTCCATCCATGTCCGGTTCTCAGTTAAAAGAATTACCTAAAAAAAGATGAATCAATTATTAAAGTGTCTGTCACTGTGTCACAGCCGTACATTGCATGATAACAGACGCGCTTACGTGTCGGCCTCTCTGTGATACGGCAGTTTTTGTATCAATGCCACCTCGGTGCTCTCTTCTCTTTCCGCCCCGTCACCACAGGAGGACAGCTCGGACCTGAAATGTCAGCTCCACTTTGCCAAAGAGGAGTCAGCCCTGATGTGCAAGAAGCTGACCAAACTGGTGAAGGACAGCGAGGCCATGAAGGAGGAGCTGGCCAAGTTCAGGTCACTGTACGGGGACGTCAACGCCTCGCTCACCGTGGAGGAGGTGAGGGGAGGATGAGGAGGACAGACATTAACTGATGTATAGCTGGATATTTGTTTTTTAAGCCAATTTACACAGGAGCAAAAAGTTTATCACATTTCACTTTGTCATCGTCAGACAGTGATAGATGAGCAAATTAGGGCAGACAATGTAGTGGTTAGTGAACAAGACCAAAAATCACCACACAATGGAGGAGGATTTCATATTTAGAGGATAGTGATGCAGCCAACTGAAGTGTTTTCTGACAACACCTGAAGGAAAATATAAACCCTGCCTTTCCATCTTTATCCCATTTAACTCTGTATCTCTTGATGTTTGCCTGAGAGATGCAAAACGTTGTCAGTAAGCTATTATGGTGGTCCCAGTTTGTAAAGTGTACCCCTATAAACCTAAATGCCAAACAACGCCTGGGAAAACTCTACAGAGCTGCATTTGTATTGTTTTAGAAACAGCCAAAACTCCCCACAAAGCTCATTAAATCCAACTCACTTATGAGCTGTTTCAGTGACTAATGCTGAAAACAACAAACAAATACATCAGTTGTTACAATATTGACTTTCCAGTCACATGCGTAATGATGAGGATTTGAATATCCAGGACTGAAAATGTTGTTATCACTTTTGATAATGATATTTATAGTTTGTCCTTTCAAACCATGATGTAAGAAAATGGTAGAAAAAGGGTAGAAACCCTTCAGTATTTCATGCTAACAGCTGATTTAATGAACAGGTGGGAGTTGATTAAGAAAATGGTTCTCCTCTCCAAGTGTGTATTTTATTTGACTCCCCCTCAGGTTAATGACTCCCCCCACACGCGCGAGGCGGAGATCAGAGTCCACCTGAAGCTGGTGGAAGAGGAGGCCAACCTGCTGAGTCGACGCATCGTTGAGCTGGAGGTGGAGAACAGGGGGCTCCGAGCTGAGATGGACGACATGAAGGGACCACAAGGTAGTTTGTAAACTCATCTCTATTACACATTTATACACGCGATGAAACCTGTATCAATATTCTTATCAAACGCTCGGCAATAAAACAAACTTATTTCCCAAAATGTCGAACTATTCCTTTCAGATTATACCTGCTTTCAGACATCTGCCTTCTCTGCCTGACCGCTCATTGTTTCTTTCCCTAGATTGTCCACAGGAGCTTTCTGGTGTTGGTGGCAGTCTGGGAGGAGGAGCCATGGTACTCGGAGGAGGAGCTTCATCTGAAAACGTCATGGAGCTCCAGAGACACCTCCAGTTTGTGGAGGAGGAGGCGGAGCTACTGAGGAGGTCTCTCATCGAGCTGGAGGAACAGAACAAACTCCTGATGAATGAGATAAACCGCTACAAATCTGATCTCCCGCCGCCGACGTCCACACTGTCGTCCAACTCTTTGGCGTCGCTGACGGACGGGCTGCTCAACGACAGCCCGGTGCACTCCATACAGGAAGGGGCGGTGCTTATCAGCACGGACGCCCCGGTCCAGGAGGAGGAGCTCAGACTGGCGAGGCTTCAGATTGGAGATCTGGGCGGGAAGGTGAAGAAGCTGCAGTACGAAAACCGAGTGCTTCTGTCCAACCTGCAGCGCTGTGATCTGGCCTCCTACCATGCTCCTTCCTCCTCCTCCTCTTCCTCCTCACTACGACTGGCTCTGGAGACTGACGCAGAGGCCGGAGACTCGGCTGAGTGCCTCCCAAGGTAGTTTAAGTTTTCAGTTTCCCTCACAGCATTTCTGTGTGAAATTGTGTGAATTAGAAGTCCTAAACGCGCTCTCTCTGTGTTTTTCCATCAGCCCGCCTCACCGCAAAGAGCCAGTAGGGGGTGAGACCGATGCCCTGGATATCAAGGAACGCAAAAAGAAGATCGAGGACAACGCTGACGCAACAACCTCACTCCCTGGCTACCTGGGGCAGAAGGACCATGATGCCTTGCTGACCATGAGGGACCAGGCTCGCTTGGTTTCCACCGCGATACAGCTCCTGACCTCCCCAGAGTCTAACTGCCTCTCCTCCTCCCCGTCCATCTATCACAAGGTCTGCAGCAACGAGGCAGCAGAGCCGTGTGACCTGGAGAAACCTCAGCCTCACGGCCAGGTACGCGTCCCTCGGTCGGGGTGTTGTTGGCTTTTCACAATAATGACCGACTATGTGATAAAGTCTGTTATTTCTTTGTTTCTGCAGATTTCAGAGCTGTCTGACCTGGCGGACCGGCCCCTGGTTGGTGCTCTGACCAGCAGGCTCCAGGCCCTGCACACCCAGCTACAGGCCTTTGTGGAGCAGGTCGACAGCCTGGGTAAACCCCCAGCAGGTGGGAGGGACCCTCAGGTTGAAGGAGCGTCTCCGCTGGCCTCACCCTGCGCCTCCCTCCTCTGCTCTGGGGACGGGCAGGATGGACTGAGCGCTGCCGTGGAGCAGGTAAAAGACGGGAAACACACTCCTCCTTTTCACTCCTTGTCACTCTGTCTCTCATTTATTATCAGTCTCTCTTTTTCGAAAGCTTTTACTTTTTTTATTTTTTATTTTATTTTCCGTTGTCACTAGTTTGTTTTTCTATTCTTCAATTTTGTGTTTGGTCCAGTGCCTAACCGTTAGTTTGGCTGCATAATCCTCCCAATCCCATCTAACCCTGCTGCTTTAGTTTCTCCTCACACCGGAGAATGGATTTACACAACACGCTCAAATCTGATGAACAACGGCAATTTAAAATACAAATTAACCTGACGTGACTCCAACACAGTTGTGAGTGGAAAAATATCCCTTTAGTGACAAACAAACAAACAAAATCTGCCCCTGCTGTATGGGCGTATAATTAGATGAATTCAGATTTGAGCTGCCAGTGTAAACCTCTCCACATGATGCCACCCTTTGTCCTCTGCATGCAGTTAGATTGCTTCCTGACCTGGTATTTAGATGCTGCTTTAGGCCTCAAATGGAGCCTGGTTGAATGCATGGACATAGTAGGGTTATTAAGAGCACATAAAGCACCATTTATTTATATACGTTTTCATCAGCATCATAAAACCAACTCGGGTTAGATCGAGTGAGGTTGTGCAATATCTATCATACATTTATATATATTTACTCACATTTATTATTATTTTATCAGAATAAAGGCCAACAGGACAATTGCATTGTTTGGCCCGTATTAAGATTCATGTAGCATCATGCAATGTAGTTGACTAGCAAATAATAAACTATGAACATAGTCTATAAGTACTATCTGAGTCTGTTTTGGTTTGAATACATAAAATCGTAAAAGATACAAGTCTAGTGTTTGGTGTTGTCCGTCTATTTGAGCTAATTAGTATTCTGACACCAGATACTGAGTACTGTATGACTGTGTTTTTATAATAAGAGGAGTAACGTTGGTAGAAACACAAGACGAGAAACCACTTAAAAATACTAAATCTGGAGTCAAAATATCCGAGTTATTCAAATCCATCGTTTGTGTGCAAAGAAAGTAACGGTGGTGAAATCTACCTCGGATTATTACTAAAAGAGTTTTTAATCTAGATTTCTTAAAGCAGCGGAGGAGACAGTGAGCTCGGTCTCAACAGATTTCTCATCATACTTTATAAATCACATTTACAGTCTGACGTTCTCCTCTGGGGGAATTCTTGGGTCGCAGTTGATTTATGTTTTAGTCTGAGCATCAAATTTATTTTCCACTATGTGACGGTCCAAATTCAGTGTGAGATCCACATTTATGAAGGCACACTGGAATCAGCAAAGATTTTGAGTTTACACTCGACTGAAGTGCAGCTGCTGGCTTAAGCTCCAACTGTCAGGAACATGCTTAAAGATGACAAAACCCTCATTTGTTATTTAGAGATTGTGTCACCACACTGGCAAGACTTTCAAGACTCAACAGTAGACAAAATGTACTTATATTTTTGTGATTTGGTGTCCTGCCTTTACAACAAGAGAAACTTGTTTCTTGTAAAAGTCTGTCTTTTCTAATGTAATCTAGTTTGCCTGTCTGGAGGAGGCTGTGGTGAAATTATACAAAGTTTTAAGAGAATACATTATCATGTGTAGACTCCATTAGAGGCCAAATTCTGAGTCCCAACACCCCTCCGATCTCTCCTCCCCTTCCCTTTCTCCTCCCCTTCCCTTCACCCCCTCTCTCTCTGCACGGGCACCATAACCGCCGGTTTCTGCACTTCACTTCCATCTCTCCCTTTGCCTCCTTCCTCCCGTTACTCACGCCTCCTCCTCCTGGTCATCTTCTTAAATGCCGACCTACTTTCCCCTGACTCCTTGCTCACCTCACATCCCGTTTCTCCCCTCTCCTCCTTCACCTTGTTGCCCCTTCGCTCTGACTTTTCATCCTAACCCCCTTACTCCTTCTCGTCTTCTTTCCCGCTCCCTTCCCTCCTCTTTCTCCCATTGCTGTTTCTCCCCCGTCTCTCCTCTCTTCCCACTCTTCCGTGTCCTCCTCTGTTTCATGTATCTCTCCTCCCCCCTCAGCCATTCATTCTGCCCTCCATCCTCCTTTTCTGTCTTTTCTCCACCCTCTCCTTCTCCTCTCTGACCAAGCTCTTTCTCCTCTACATCCTTTTCTTCGTCTTGTGAGATCCATACTCAACTGTTTCTGTTTTGTCCGTCGTTTTTCATTTTTCTCAATGTTGTCATATGGATCGACGTCATTTTGGTTGAATTGTTTTTTATTCTTATGGTTGTGTTTGTTTGTCTTGTTTTTTTTTCTTTCGTTACTATCACTCCCCTCCTTTTTGTTTTTGTTCCACCACGTCTCCTCCTCCCCTGTCCCTCCCTCTCTCGTCTATGTTTTTTTTTATTCATTAACCTGCCCATGCATGCATGCAGCAGCCTGATTATAGGGACCAATCAGAGCCGGAGGTGAAAGGTGAAATTGAGGAGAACAGCCAATCAGACAGCAATGAGAAGCAAAAGCGGGACAGCGGCCGGCTGGAACGGGGAGAGAAGGAGTCGGACGATGCGCTGGTGAGTCGCTCAACAACACAACCATTCCCATTAGGACAGACACAGACACACACACTTTGAGCCTGAAGCTTTAATGTCAAATCTCTCACTCTGTCTTGTACACGCAGACAAACAAACAAACTCTTAGGCCTTTGGTTGGTCGAAGTCTCAACATGCCTTCAGGGCAACAAACGAATGTCTAGTCTGCTCCTTTATCAGTCTGACCGAGAGGGTAAAGTAACTAGGGAAGCTGATGGGGAATCTGAAAGGGGCTATAACTGCTGTTTTCATATTAATAATGGAGCAAATGACTACTTGTATGTGTAAGGGATACGAATTATCAACTCTGCATTTACCCTCAGTGCATTTATTCATTTCTCCCTTGTCCGTCTGGTCAAACAGCGAGGGAGGGAGCAGATTGTGGAAGCCAACAGTTTCTACAGCTCAATATTTCATATATGGATTGTATCCACTGAACCACTCTCACTTTTGAATGATCCAACGATCGAAAACACACAACACAAACAAAAACACGCTTTATCTGCCGTTTCCGTGTGACTTTAAAAGGTGGTGTTCTGTCAGCGTTACGTTTACAGCTTGTTTCCACTGTGGCAAAAAAAACAACCAGCTTTGATACATACAGTTGACAATTGCTGCCATAACACCCCATAATACTCTGAATAAACATCCAAAACACAGTTAGAGAGAAGACATGTCCCAACCTGTTGTCTTGCCATCACGCCTGCTGAAGACGTTGGTGTGTGTTTCAGCAGGATAAGAGGACAGTAAAGGACAAAATGATCAGATATGGATTTGAACAAATATGTAATTTAGAGCGAGACCACCAAATCATCCCGGCTGATGTATTAGCCAGTGGGTATTAGTGTACAGTATGTGTCGACCAATAAGTAACAAGAAACTTAGTTCAACGTGTATCTTGTTCACAATTTAAAAGAGATAAAAAAGTGCTTAGATAGTCACGGCCCACTTAATAGCTTTTTGCCAAGTTTTCGAGTGATAATGGGTCATAGCTTGATGTAGTGGATTGTTCAGTCTAATGTCTTCAAAGACGGTCCTGATGGCAACTGAGCCATCTCCATGACAACCGAACAAGCCCCTTATCCTGAGGAAGATCTGAGATGCGGTTAAAAGGTCTGGAAAAAGCTAGTTAAGTGCACCTTGTGTTAAGATTTGGCGGGTCAAACTCCTGTTTAAGGACCATTAAGAATGAACTTGTACCCTCGACTAGTAACATTTAACGTTTAGTATTTATATTTGCATTATTGAAACTGATACAAAAAACAACACCCATGAAAACGTGCCTTGAATGTACATGTGGGCTGTGTATGCTTGCATCACTTCTTCCTGTGCAACCACACAATGACAGGAAAAGTTCATCAGAGGCTCATTTACATGCACACACACACACACACACACACACACACACACACACACTGAAGCTTGAAGTTCGTGATGTGGTACAGTAGTGGTGAACTCATGCCAGCAACACAGTGTTGTCAACAAACATAAACAGTGACTTCACCGTCAGCTGTGGGATTGACGGGAATAAAAGACCTCTTTGTTTGGCTGACCTTTAGCTGGCGTGTCTCCATGGTAACCAGGGATGTGTGTGTGTGTGTGTGTGTGTGTACGTACGTGTGTGTGTGTACGTACGTGTGTGTGTGTGTGTGTGTGTGTGTGTGTGTACGTACGTGTGTACGTGTGTGTGTGTGTATGTGTCTGCATCTTTATCCGAGCTTGAGAATGTGAAATAGAATGAAGCAGAAAGATAACAGGAGAGTCAGATATTCTGGAGAAACAGCTGATGAAGTGAGCAGAGCAGTGACACAGCAGCACATACTGTACAATCACACAAACACTCAGCATGATGGAGCCGCTCATTCTCTGCAACATTCAACGGTAGAGCTTGTAACCCCCTTCTTCCGGTCTTTATGCTAGGCTAGGCTACGGTGTTGGTAAAATGGTGTTATTAGTATATTTGGATCCTCTCATTCTTTGCACATTTGCTCACACGTTGCTTCAGTTTTGTAATGCACATTTTTTGCATGAGCAGCTGCCACTTTCTCACAACAGTGAGTCATACCGGAACAGAAACTCTGGCTGTGAGCGGCCCGGGTGCTGTTCAGGGTGGAGGGTGATGGAGGGCAGAGGCTGAGCCCAGTGGAGGGTGAAAGAGGACATTAATGGTACAGTGGTGGGTCGATGGATCGCACTCACTCAGCAGTCAAATGAGGCATGGGAGAGTGCATGAGATGATGTGTGTGTGAGAGACTGTGTGTGTGCGTGTGTGTGTGTGTGGACATACAGTTAGCGTGCCAAAGCTGAAATGTGATTTAAAGGGTGTTCTAGCATAAAACTGCCATGTTATGTGCTTCTCACACTTAGCTGTTTCTCCCTTTGTCATTTCCTTCTAACGCTCTCGTCCCTCGCCACCTCCCATTACTGCTTTTTGTTCTTTTCTTTAATCTCTGGCCGCCTCCCTCCTTGTTCCCTACCCACCGATGTTTCCCTATCCACTGCTCCTTTCCTTATTTCTTTCTTTCCCTCAACTCTTTTACTCCACCTCCCTTCTTCCTTATCTTCCCCCCCCCACTCATCCTTTCCTCATCTCCCTCTTCCGTTCCTCCAGCCCGTCCATGTCGATGACCTCCTGGCTCGGCTGTCCGAAGCGGAAGAGTCGGCTCTCGGAACTCAGGTGGAGCTGGAGGAGGAGAGGCAGGCTCAGAGAGAAACCACTCTCAAACTCACACAGGTCAGTTTGCAGCACTGAATACTGCCAAGACAGGTCAAATACTGACCTGGCCACAAAAGACCCTCAATCTCACACAAAAACACCATTTCCTCCCTGATCGTCCTGTGTCAAACTGTCTGTCCCTCTCAGATCCAGGAGGAGCACCAGAGGGCTCTGCTCCGTCGGGACTTCCAGCTGCAGAGTTTGGGCCTCCAGGTTCGGCTCCAGCAGAAGTTGTGGAGCCAGGAGAGGACTCTGCTGGTCCAGGAGTCCCAGCACCTCAAACAGGCCCTGGTGCTGCTCAGCCTCAAACTACGCTGCTTCCTCAAACAGTGGAGGCTGGGCTGCAGGAAGGACACGGAGTGGAAAGACATCTTGGAGGTATGAGGGGAAGAGAAAGGAAAATGCTGTCCACACTGTTGACATGCTGTTTGTCATTATTTTAACCAAGATGTGTATTTATGTATCTAAAAGTAATACTCTATTGTCCTCAAAGGGTATCTCCATTTGTTCTCAAAAATCATGTAATCTCAGTTTTTCAATCACAGAAAGAATTAAGAGAAAATCTTAACCAGGTTTAACCAGGTTCTATGCAGAAGACAAGTAACCTGGCCACAAGGCCAAGTGACTTCATTCAACATCAAATGTGAAATAGCATGTTTTTCGTATTGTAGCGTATTTTTCATATTGTAGCTGGATGTAAATTGTTGTTGTTGCCTTTGCAGAAGTAAGAAAAAGTATAAATATGTAGATAAATAAACACACAGAGGCTAAATGATTGAAAAGCGATCCTGCTCTGTGATTATTTATTTTCAGATGAACAGCCTGAAGGACCTGTACCTGCTGTTGGAGGAGGAGAACCTGACGAGCCCCGTCCACCAGACTGACAAGAGGGCTGCTGCAGACGAACAACTCAGCCCAACTATCAAGGTCAGTTGAGTGACACACACACACACACGTACACACACACACGTACACACACGTTCTTACATGCGTATCTTTCCCTGTAGTCTAGTGCCGTGAGCAGCACCTTGGCGGACCTGAAGGTGGCGCTGCAAGATTTGAGTGGAGAGTTGCGACAGGAGAGACAAGGCTCCCAAGAACTCACGCAGCAGTTCGCCAAGGCCAAGGCATCATGGGAGGTGGAGAGGACCGAACTACAGAGCCTCATTACGCAGGTAGGAAGTATTTCTGTAAGTTTATACCGTGTAATACGTCAACTTATTTTCTGCCAGTTTTGGCAAAATTAAGAATATTTCACATGAAAGATTTCTCTTCATGCTGTTGACGCTCCTGTCGTTGGTTTGAAGAGGGCAGGACTCTCAAATAAAGATGATCAACTTTTTCTTCCAGACTTTGATTGACTTTAACTTTGACTGTTGCTTATTTAATCATTAATATTCAATGTCGTAGAGGAATACTTCCTGTTTAAAACACAATTTCAAAATGTACAAGTGATACATTAAACATTACTCAAAATCATGCTTTTTTATGTTACTCAAAAAACAAAATCCCAAATCCTTGTGCCTGTTTCTAAGTGAGCCATGGTGCCGGCCATTAGGAGACACAAACTGATGCAACGTGCAATGTACAAAATGCATCACACTCTTTGATTTCATGTTCTACACCCACTGTGTTGCCCATTAAGGGAATACGATGATCTACTTTCCTTCGGTTGCTCTCCAGTTTTGAGTTGAAGGAGACAGATGTTGACATTTAAAAGCCAACAGATACTCAGAGACTCAGATGCTGGGAGAGTCGAGCAGAGCTCAACGAATTCAGGACAAGACCAAAGACCAATACGGTGGGAAGATTAGGTAAACGAGTAACTGGACAGTTATAGGTTATAGTCGACCTATGGTTGGAAACAGACAGAGAAAAAAGAGAATAAGTTGTGGTGTTTCTGTTCTGAAGTGGCCAATATTTAGTTTGACAAGTGGTCGTGGAAATAGTTGGTCAATGTCTACTTCCGAATTGCCAAGTGGCTTATGTATTTGTGAATTTGAGCCTTTCATCCCCTGTCTGTCTGTCTTATCTGCAGGCCGTGAGTGATGGTATTAATGTTTCATCCTCCTCTCCTCCCTCATTGTCTCTCTGTCTCATAACAGCAGCGGAGATGGTAACTGTAAGTGTTAATTAACAGCCTCTGTGATAGAACACAGCCTGTGTGCTGCCGTCTGGTAATTGAGACAGAGAGAGAAGAGAGAGAGATAAAAGAAAGACAAAGAGGGCTGTTCAAGTTTGGCAGTTGAAAAGCCTCTTCATGTGTCCTTACCTTTGTTCCCTGAGTGTATATGCTTCTGCTATCTACCATTAAAAGCCATCTGATATTGCATATTGCAGATTTTGTGGCAGGCCCATACCTGCAGGTTTACCTTTAGCCCCAAGCTAACCAGCACCAGCAGCATTAACATAAGATGGAAGGTGTCAGTTTGCAAAAACATGTTTTTCATTTACGCCATGTGCTGTTGTCAAAGTAATTTATTCATGCACTGTCATTCATTTTCAAATGTTCTCTCCAATTAACTTTCAACATTGAGTTCTTTCAAAACCCGGTTCCACGTGAAAACTTGTAAAACCACGTACAGTAAATCATACCATCCATAGCAGCCTCACCATAACTTAACCCAAACCTGAATTGATTATGATTATCAATATTTTAAGATTTAGGTTTTTGATCACTTTATCCTAATACTAATTCTAATCTTAAATCCTAATTCTAAAACTGAAATGTCCCTTTGTGAAGAAATAAATACCCTCGCTATGACGGGTGTGTTTTGGTCCACAGCAGTACCGAAACACAAAGACAGACAGAGAGACACTCGCACCCGGACGGAGTCATTAATCATCGTCATGATCAGAGAGACTCTGCCCTCGCGCTATGGTGCGCCATCATTTGTTTTCCGATTGGTTTGGCAGCTCCTCTTGGCAACCAATAGGAGTTGCGAGCGGCATCACAAAGTGATAGGACTCTCTCCTGTCCTTAAAGGTGACGTAGCGGCAGGCTATCTGTATAATTACATTTACAGACTAACCTTTGTGGCTTAATCAAAGAATCCAATCACATGGCTGCGATTCATTTTGAGTGAAACCAACCATGTCGTGCCGGGCAGGATGTCGACACAAAAATATGAGTTTCATATTTGATTATGTTTAACTGTGTTGCACTTTATCACAGATTTTGTCAAATTGAAACAGAAGCACACGCACATGTGCAACACTTTATTTCCATTATTCTCTTTTCTGCCCTGTAAAGTGTGTGTGTGTGTGTGTGTGTGTGTGTGTGTGTGTGTGTGTGTGTG